CTGACCAATGTAACTCTACTATGTACATTTCATGATTACCACAATATACTAGATCTGACCACTGTAACTCTACTATGTACTATTCACAATTACTATAATATACTAGATCTGACCAATGTAACTCTACTATGTACATTTCATGATTACTACAATATACTAGATTTGACCACTGTGACTCTACTATGTACATTTCATGATTACCACAATATACTAGATCTGACCACTGTAACCTATATCATCAGATATATCTAATAGAGTTAAAGTGGTCAGATCTAGTATATTGTGGTAATCATGAAATGTACATAGTAGAGTTAACGTGGTCAGATCTAGTATGTTGTGGTAATCATGAAATGTACATAGTAGAGTTACAGTGGTCAGATCTAGTATATTGTGGTAATCATGAAATGTACATAGTATCTGTGTTTGACCACTATAACTCTACTAGGTATGTCTGATGATTATCACAATGTATTAGATTTGACAACTGCAACTTTACTAAGTATGTTTGATGATTAGAACAATATAACAGATATCATTGTTTCCATCTCATGTTTGATTACTACAGCTAACCACTTTTGATCATTATAACTGATAAAGTTTGGTAATCAAAACCTACCAATTTTGATTCATCAACAGGTTCATCTTGTTTCTTCAAAGACTTCTTGAGAGCTAGCCTTTTCTGTTCCATAGATTTTCTTGCTGCTATTTCTTCCTGTTGAAGTTGTTTGTCAATTTCTTGAAGACGTTGCTATTTAAAAAAAACAAAACACGAAACACACTACAAACCCAAATAAAAACATATTTCACCCGAAGACTAACTGATATAAGAACAAAATGTTTGAGAGACATTGTTGATGTAACCTTTTAAAACTGCATGCTTGACTCCTCATATGATTTTAAATCCCTAAACAATAACATTTTTCAAAATATATTTAGACCTATTCAAATAATAACATTTATCTAAGTAAGTTGACATTTTTAGAATAAATTTTCACTACCTTAGGTGATTTTTAAATAACATAATCTAGATTCATGAATTAAAGTAAGTTTTTAAATAAAACATCACCTTCATTAAATAGAAAACAACTAAATAATATTATTTAGAAAAAAAATAAGAACTTAAACACTCTTAGTTCTTAGACAAATCTAAGCCACTGCCTATTATTTCAATTGATTCATTCATTTATTCTCAGTTTGAAACATCCTAAATTTGGTTGAGACAATGTGTAAATATTCAACCTGAGGTGTTTCTTTTAGTAGCTTGACCAGTCAAGGAACTTATCTTTTGTGTTAAGGGATAGTTACATTGTTTCCTACTTTACCTTTTGTATGGGGGAATATCTTGCAGCTGTCACATGTTGCAGTGAGATTTTCACATTCTGGTGCCCATTTTCTGATTGATTAGCTACAGAAAGGAAGTGGTTTGTGACTATAATTTTGGTGTTTTCAAGCAGCTTCTTTTTGTCCTCAGAGGAAAGATGCTTTGTTTTTGTTTTGGATAAATCAGAACGTGTTGTGGAAGTATTTGTATTTAAAGCAAAGCTTGAAAGGCTATCTGCTACAATATCTAATTTTAAACTATTGATCAGAGGGACAGAATCCAGTCAGCAGCACCCATGTCAAGGGTTTAACTGTCACTCTTATAATGCACATACTGTTTAAAGTGTGGGGAATATTTTGTGGGATTGGATGGATTTGAACATAATTTGCCATGTCTGAAATCCAGACTTTTACCACAGGGCCATGGTATGACTGTTATGAAGGCCTATCTTTGTTTTACTTTATTCTCCAATCTGCTGATCATGTATCTTTTTGTTACTTAACAACTCTGTTTTTCATATTGAATTATCCAGTTACTCTATTTTAATTTTCCTTACTTGGTAATATAATAGTTCATCATTGTTTCAATCATTCTTCTGTCTTCATTATAAAATTTCATTTCAACACTATGTTTTGTTTCTTCAATCCAATTGTGACAAACCACTGTACCTTTCCTTCTATATATTAGATCCCCAAAACTTTTATTCTTGCAGAGATTGAGTGCCTGTGTGTTAGGTTTGATCTTGGGATTACAATATGTATAACAACAAATAAAGCTATGACACTTTAGTATTATGTTTTGGCATTTTAATATATAACATAATGTTTAGGGACAACAAGGGACCTGTTGGTCCATCTCAGTTGTCCCATTTTCTAAACTAAACTACATAAAGAAAAAATTAAAAAACAACTAAAAGCCAGCCCTTATCATTCATATAGTTATCAAGCTTTCTCTTAAACTCACTTAAATTGACTGCCTCCACAATATCCAAGGTTAACCCATTCCAGAGGCCAACCACCCTGTTCAAAAATAAAACTGCCTTAGCTAAAGATAACTCCTTCCCTGCCAAAATATATATTTGTGCCCCCCAGTCCCACTATTCTTCCCATTAAAAATGAAAAAAACGATGATATCAATACTCTGAATTCCCTTTACAATCTTAAACACCTCAATCAGATCCCCTCTAACTCTTCATTTTTCAAGAGAAAACAGTTTCAAAGATCTTAATCTTTCCTCATGTGACAAGCCCTCCATCCCAGGCACCATTCTAGTAATCCTCCTCTGAACCCTTTCCAACAATTCAATGTCCTTCCTAAAGTAAGGAGCCCAAGTCTGAACACAATACTCCAAATGAGACCTAACAAGTGACCTATACAATGAAATTACAACCTCTTTAGACTTGTATTCAATATTTCTGTAAATACAACCTAAAATCCTATTTGTCTTATCACTAGCAACAGCAAACTGCTTGGATGGTTTAAGAGACTGATCAACCATGCAAATATAATTTCCAAAAATGTTTATTTTATAAAATGTTAAATTTTTATTGAGATATTTTACTTAATACTTGTTACAAATTTTTCATTAAGAATAATGATTAGGTATGCTTGCTTGCAAGGATGTACAGAAGTACATTTATATTCACAATTTCATAATATTACTCTGATTTTTTTTCAATTAGCTCTCAAAACAAAACTATAAATATAATATTTTAGTCTTAAAATCATGTTATGTTTAGAAAAACAAGCTGAGGGTACCTGTTAAGGGAGCAAAAACTGTATAAAAGAGAATATTAGATAATGTTCCCCTTCCTTCTATATTTTGTTATTAAATACCTAATGACCCCATCAGATACTTTGTGGAAGATAATAATTGAATAATTTAACTGATTAAGGGCTTGTGTCTTTAACTTCAGAGCTAAAAGTCTAAAAGGAAATGTGCCTTATTCCAGGTGTTTTTATCCTCTTTCTCAGAGAAAATAAAATCCTGAAACAAAATATCCCATGTACACTGTCCAACAGTTTCCATTTATCACACAAAAAATTACAATAATCAAGCCAGCTAACTCTGGGCTGAGTGATGCAAGCCAAAAGTGAATAAAAAAGTATAAATATTCCACATTTCAAGGTATTTTTTTATCCCTCCTTCTTAAGTAAAAATCATAAAACAAGTAGCCCATGTACATCATCACAGTTTCCAGTTACCATTCATTAATGGAGTAAGCCAATTCTGGAGGATTGATGCTAACACACACACATAATCTTTATAGTAAGATACAACTTATTCATATACATACTTTTCTATAATTATACACAAAATTATTTACTGTAAGGCTAGAAATGACAAAACTGAAATGAATCTTCAACATCAAAATACATCGTGTGCAAGAATGAAAAACTGCATTTTAATTTCACAATAAAAATATACAATACAAGAAAGGTTTACTCTTTAATACTAGAACGTTTATTTTTACTAAAATAAAACAGTAGGTGATTTTTTTGTTGTTGAAATTGACTGTGGTTTATAAATAAGCAAATTGATGTATCGTCCATTAAAGGCTCAATTTACAAAGTACCCAGTTCATGTATATCTAAATAAGTATCTATGTTATTAATACACAGAATAACATATATTTCAATACAGGTTTGGTTTACAAACTCCCTAGGTCATGCATGTGTATATTATTATTCAATACCATATTTCTAATTTTAATATTTATAATAATTTTTATTGAAGTCAATATTAAAAACAACACAACACCTTTCCTGAAACTACAATTTTTTTTATTTCTTATATATATACATATTAGATATAATTACTATTATGTACTTAATACTTATCACTGCTTCAAATCTGAAAGTGTTATAGTGACACACATTTGTAGAATATTCTAGTATGCAAAATAAACTGACCATGTGATGTGTCAGGTCACTGCTTGAGCTATAACTGCAGAGATGTAGTCACATTATTATTATTATTCTGCAAGGCAA